GAGACAGACTGGAGGGACACATATACCACCCTAGGCATATGGCAGAGAAAGAAATGGAAGGCACATATAATCCCTGCCATGGTGGGGAATGGAGGCATGGTAAAAAGAGGGATGAATAAGGGAGCGCATACAGCCCCTGGCATGAGTGTGTGTGAGTGGGATACCCAGGTATGGTGGGAGGAGAGAAAGTGGGGCATACAGAGACCTTGGCATTGCAGGGAAGCGTCATGAGGGGATGCAGAAGCCCTAACATAGTGGACATGGGGGAGGGGGGAGGGATATACAGAGCCCCTGGCATGAGGGAGGAGGTGGGGATATAGAAGGGGATATAGATGGTGGCACACATGGAGCTTGTGGAGGGATGCAAGGAGCCCCTGGTGTGTGCAATGAGCTACAGAAGCAACAAGATGTGCAATACCTTCCCTCTCTCTCTTCCCCCCCCCCCCGCAGTGTACTAATTGGAGACAATTGCTAAAACTATATTAGTAATTGTGGTATTGTTATGAACACAGCAGTTGATTACAACTGCAATATCTGTAACCTTTGAGTAATGTTTTTTTTTCTATGGGGGCTACAGCAGCTAGAATGTGGATAGTGACCACACACGATACGTTTGTTTTCAGCCCTCCTCCACTGACCTGAATTGACATGAATTCAGTGGTGATTCTTTAATTATTTCCTTTACTATTTACCTTCTTAGAAATGTTTGGCTGTACAGCTGTTAATTTTTTGTTTCTAATGTCAGAAACTTGAAATGAAATTAAATTGAAATTAAGAATGCTTTATATCAGTGTACAAAGAGAGGATTGATCTTTCCTGTGTTGGGAGAGAGATCCCAAATGATGAATTTCATGTATATTGGTGGACACTGCTGACATGAGTTTTGCTCAGTTTAAAAGTGTTTGGTAAATGCTTTGAACTGAGGGCTTTGGGACAGAGTAAGAGGGAGCTATAGACAATGATCTGAGGACAGACTCTCTTCTGTATTATTAATGTGGTGATGTAGTATTATTCTTCACAGATTTGTGAAGACAGTGAGGTGGGGGAGGGAGAAATGTGGCTGTAATGAGTCAGATTCTCCGTTCTGCTCTGAACTTCATCCATTTTTTGATTTAAGCTTTATGTGTGCGAGACAGAATAAGTAGTTCTTAGGACTTTTTAATTGCTATTAATTATTGTTTATATAATTTGCACTTGATCCCTGGTGGGTGTAAATTGAGATGTAAACTGACACCAACTGAGAATCCAGCCCTCTGTGTCCATGCCCCATCACTTCTTCCTGCACAGTATTTCTAACACAACTAAAGCCCTTGACTATCATTTCCTTTATTGATAACTGTGATTTACTCCTCCCTAGCCTCTATGACACAGACATCAGAACCCTCTGAGTTCAAACCATTCAAAATGTAGTTATTAATATTATCTTCCTTGAGTTCGGTGATATCCATTTTTTTCTCTCTCTGAATCCTAACACTGGCTCTCCCTTTCCCACAGCATCAGGTCCAAGTTTGTTTGAAATTCAGAGTAAGTTCTTATAAGGGTTTGCTAAGGTACACCAAATGTTCCGTCCAAACTGAGACCAGCTTGGAGCAGACTTGGACAGATTCATGATGGGTTTTTTACTAAATCATGCAAAATTTGCTCCTCTGCCTACTTTTGATACAAAAGAGAGGTGGGAAAACCTGAATTAGGATTTCAGAGTTAGGGTTTTGTTTTGTTTTTTTAACTTGAAACTGAAAGCAAAATTCAAGGCTTGGGGACACATGTAGGCTACAGTTAACCCCTTAAAAGAGAAACTGCCAAGATTAAATCAGGGTTCAGGCCAAATGTTGATCCCATTGAAATCAATTGCGAAAGTTCTACTGACTTGATTGGGACCAGGATTTTTGGCAGAGAAGCAAAAGCCTATTCAGTGGCAATATGCTCTCTTGCTTTTATGTGCAGATCTGTTTGGAGCTGTTGGTCTCACTTCAGGCTGTGCATCTGAAAGGGAATCTCCCCCTTCCCCCCCATGTAATCTCTGCTTTTCGCCACATCATTAAAGACTAATGTGAATGTCCCCATCAGGATGAATAGTCAGTGGGAGAGGTATCATTTGTTTTGTTTGGTGGGTTTTTGTTGGTGAAGGAAAAGCTCCTGGACCTTACTTCTTCAGTTTTAGAAAGTCAAAAGGAAAGATTACTGTATGTACCAGTTACTATGTTCCTCTAACACTGTTTAATGAGACATGACCCCAGTTTCTAACTGGTATTAGTGTAATTCCCAATTTTAAATTCTGAAAAAGCTAATTCAGTGAACCATTCTCTCTTTTCAAAAATTGCTTCAGATACACTCTTGTCCTTGTTTATTATCTGTTTTAAAAGCATTGTAGCCTGTACCAACTTCCTTTGTCTTTCTATTTTCTTTAGACGAAAATTGTTTTAATCCTTTCTTCATTTAGAAAAACCCTCCTGCCCTATTACTGTAATTTGAAAGGAGGAAGGAGATCTCTTTAGCTGTGCCAGTCCCTCTCAGCTTTGAAGTACTGCCAAACCTTTTCTACTTCAAAGCTATTACAGGGCTAGAGCTTCGACACGGCGCCATCATGTACAGAGCTTTTACCAGGCTATAGAATAGTTTGTGTTTAATGTACTCCAATAGAATTATTATTATTATTAATAATAATTAATAATATAAAGTTAGTTTTGATGGGTCCCTAAATTGTCATTTTAATTTTATTTTTGGCCTTATAAAAATAATTAAAACCCAGCAACTCAACTCTCCTAATGTCTGTGCAAACATATCTCTACCAGAACACTGGTAATTGCAGAATATTCAGTCATTAAATCAATAGAAGTATAAAGAAATAACAAACTCCTATAATAATCGTGTTTATCATGTTACATTTTTTCCCTTTAACTTATTTTCTAACTCCAAGGCACTGATAGTGCTTTTGAGACAAACCTTGTGGAAAAGTCCTACAGAACTTAACAGAAAATAAGGCTTTTGACATCTCCCTCACACTCTCTCTCCATTCTGCTGTAAAATTCCATAGAAATGTTCAACAAACTCATAGAAATAATGTCCTTCTCTACAACATATGGTAGGTTTTAAAAGTAATTTCTATAGATCCCTATAGGTATAAGATTGGATTCTCATTTACACTGCAGCCTGGCATAAAGAGGCCTTAGCGTCATAGGAATCACACCCTTTGGAATCCTAATTAAATTTGCTAGGATTTTTCTATAAAGGAACTAGTGAGAAAGTAAGAGAAAGTTGACGGTTCTACTATTAGAGAATTAAGTTTGAAACAGCCTGATTCCTAAGGGTATGTCTACACTACGAAATTAGTTCGAATTTATAGAAGCCGGTTTTATTGAAATCGGTTGTATAGAGCCGATTGTGTGTGTCCACACATAAAATGCTCTAGGTGCTCTAGTCGGCGGACCGCGTCCACAGTACGAGGCTAGCGTCGACTTCCGGAGCATTGCACTATGGGTAGCTATCCGACAGCTATCCCACAGTTCCCGCAGTCTCCGCCGCCCCTTGGAATTCTGGGTTGAGATCCCAATGCCCGGATGATGCAAAACAGTGTCGCGGGCAG